CACCTTGGCCCTCTCTAGAGGTGTCTACTATATTAATCAATAAAGAGCCCGGGTAGAGTGTAGGACTGTTTGTGGGACCTTTTGTAGGACTGTGTGTGTGACCACTGTTTAAAGGCCGGCAGGTAGGTCGTAGGACTGTCTGTAAGCCTGTGACTTAAAGACCGGTAGGCAAGGTGTATGACTGTCTGTAGGCCTGTTGTTTAAAGGCGGGTAGGCAAGGTGTATGACTGTCTGTAGGCCTGTTGTTTAAAGGCGGGTAGGCAAGGTGTATGACTGTCTGTAGGCCTGTTGTTTAAAGGCGGGTAGGAAAGGTGTATGACTGTCTGTGGGCCTGTTGTTTAAACGCCGGCATGTATTATGGAAAATGAAAAGTTCACTTTTTTTTTCTTTTTTCTTTGGATATAATTATGGACCCACCAGGTATTTTCTCAAAATACCCAGACCTGGTGTTAAATAAAATGTAACCTGTTAAGCCCTAGCATCTTATATTACATTAACGCTCACATGCAGCATTCCACTATAGACTTATCAATTCAAACAACGTGGACACTTGTCCCGGGGCCCCCTTATATGTGTTGTCCCCTAACATTTTTTTAAGGCGTGGGTCCTCTAGGCGCGCGCCTCGCTTGTCATTTAGGTTTATCTGGCCCTGGGCCCCCCATCTACGTCAGATCGTTAATATGATCACTCTGGTATACAATTTTTTTCCCCTTCCTGTTCCAAACGGTAAAACTTTGAGATGACTTGATATTCAATCATTAACATACACTAATGACTACAGATAATTAAAGACGTCTCTCGGAAGGGCGAGTTACCCACAATATAATTACATTAACGCAGCTATTCGTTTCGGTAACACCATGGTCTGTAATGTTAACTTTTTGTTTCATAAGTCGTTCTTATAAAATGAAAGACAATCGTCTCTGTAAATGAATGTTAACGTTTCACTGCAGTGTTGCAGAATCCCCAAAATTAGTCAACACGTTTAGCTAACGAAACAAAACGGTGGCTTGACGTTATTGGCACGCTGAATGAATTAGGAGTCGTACTTTGGCGTATTAATCCCAAAAGGTTGACGACCCCTGGCCCATAGAAACCATTTAACGCCCCCCCCCCCCCCCCCCCNAAATGCAGGGTATTTATTGGTATTAATTCCCTTGAAAACACAACTATAACGGTATATATAATAATGGGCACCAAAGGTCAAGAAGACCTCTACATATTTTTTTTTTTTTTTTTTTTTTTAATTTTTTTTTTTTTTTTTTTTTTTTGCTTTTTAGGTACTCAAATTGATTTAAAATACTTTGCGTTAACTATTTTTCAAATCAAAACTTTGGGTTCCTTAAACTTATGAGACCCCTTAAGTGTATGAGACCCCTTAAGTGTATGAGACCCTTAAAATGTATGAGACACTTAAATGAAAGAGACCCCTTAAATGCATGAGACACTTGAATGTATGAGACCCCTTAAATGCATGCGACACGTATATGTATGAGACCCTTTAAATGTATGAGGTACCCTGGAGCTGCAGGGATTGAAGGACCCACGCTATGGCTCTGATTATCACGTATATGCCTACATTTTGCCAAAGAGAGTCTGTTGTTTTGTTGACTACAGCATTTGCTTCAGTGTGTTACGGATTTCTTTCGGGTGAAGACCATGTCCTCTGGACCCTGCTTAGTGTCATGCTTCAGGGCCTGTGCGCACTCTACAGTAAAACAAGTTGTTTGTGTGTTTGTTTGTTTTTAAAATGTCTATGCCTTCTATGGATAGCAGGCCTTCAAGAAACACATAAATAAATACACTGACACGTAACATTTCGTTTGAGACGTGTCGTGGTTTGACAGGGAAGAATACATTAGCATTAGAAATAAATTGCAGGGCAAAAAATAAAGTGGGTTGTGTATGGTTGCAATGCCAATTTTGAGCGATGTGAAAGGAGCTTAAATAAAAAATAACATGTTAAAAAATTTTATAAGACAATAACCGTTGAAATCTTGAATACTATTTGAATTTAACAATATAGCAATTTCCATTGAAAAAAAAAAACAACAATAAAACAATTCCCATGCCGGGAATCGAACCCGGGCCGCCTGGGTGAAAGCCAGGAATCCTAACCACTAGACCACATGGGACTGTACACTTAATACAATGTGAGGAAAAACTCCAATGAAAGGATACATTGTATATCATTTTGGAACTAATACCGCGCTTCAAAGGCAGATGTCGAGTCAAAATGATCACTAAGGGAGTATGGCTTTAAAGAATCAGCCGGAATAATCAGCCGTCAGATTCTATAAAGCCATACTCCCTTAGTGATATTATTCCGCTCGAAAAATGTCTTTCGTTTAGATTTGTCTTGGAAGAATATTTATCGACTGTCTGGGGAAATGAATAATGTACAGTTTGATCAAAAAGTGTTTGTGTTATTTTTAATCAAGAAAAGAATCTTATGGCGTATGTATTCTTATTTTAGTCCTTATTATAATCTTCTCTTATCATATTCTTACCTTATCTATTCTTACTTTTTCTTGTCCATTCTTATCTAATAATTACCAACACAGCTAACCGTACAGTTCCTTCACTACATTTTAAGGTTCATCTTCCCATGCCCAAGAAGACTTGCCATCATTGTACCCAACACTGAACAATGTCAAGCTATTTGGCATATCAGTCTATAGCATATCAATCTACAGCATATAAATCTACAGCATATAAATCTACAGCATATCAATCTACAGCATATCAATCTAAAGCATATAAATCTACAGCATATCAATCTACAGCAGTGGTTCTCAGCCTTCTCAATGCTGCGACCCTTTAATACTCGTGTTGTGGCGACCTCTAACCACAAAATTATTTTTGTTGCTACTTCATAACTGTAGAGTATATTATGTAGTCTATCTTCCGATGGTCTTATGCGACCACTGAAAAAGGGTCACGGCGCACAGGTTGAGAACCGCTGATCTACAGCATAACAATCTACAGCATATCAATCTACAGCATAACAATCTATAGCATATCAATATACAGCATATCAATCTTCAACGAATACACCCAGGCGAAATTGAGCAAGTGGAAAAAACTCTGCCACTTTATCATCGGACTTCTCAACAATATGAGATATGTTTTGGTTTCCCTTACTTCCAAGTTTTCTCCCCTTCAACCTGTGCACAGTTGTGCAGAAATGAAAATATACATTTTGGCCATTGCATGTCATGTCAAAAAGACGTTAGTTAAAAGCAAGAATATTGAATCCTATGTAGCGTGGTCCATTGACACGTTCTACTTGGCAATCAGGTTAATCCTATGCATTTTATTTATTTATTGAGACAGCTGACTATGAATAAAAATGTGTCTTTTCTCCATAGTTGTGTTTGTCTTCTCTCCATAGGTGTGTTTGTCTTCTCTAGACTGGTGTGTCTTCTCTGCATTGGGTGTGTTTTTTTCCATTGTATTGTGTGGGTGTGCTTATTTAAAGTTATTTTCTCTGCATGGATGTCTGGTTTTTTTCTGCATGGGAGTATATGTTTTTCTGCACAAGTCAGTTTGTTTTCATTGCATGGGTGATGTCATCTGTTATGTGTACACTTAATTTGTAAAACTATTTTCGTCCCATACTATTGTCACTGTTGTATTTGACAGTTGATATGATTTGTTGGCTACATAAGCTTGCTTTCAACTTTCAAGCTAACAACAACAACAAAAAAAGTGATCGTTTTCCTTGAATAAATTTAAAATATGAATTGTCCTTTTCTGAGGTTTAAACTTCTTTTCTACATACAATAACTAGTGTAGGTATAGAATATTTTTTAACCTACTTTCTACATACACTAACTAGTGTAGGTATAGAATAAGTTTTAACTAGTTTCTATATACAATAACTTGTGTAGGTATAGAATAAATTATAACTAGTTTCTACATACAATAACTAGTGTAGGTATAGAATTAGTTTAAACTTACATTCTACATAGATTAACTAATGTAGGTAACTTGTAGATAAATTAATGAAAATTTTCATGAAAACCAAATAAAGAACATTTAATAATGTAAGCTACAAGGAGGGTGAGGGTTTTTTCCGATGCCATCACGGTGTCCTGTGATCTCAACCAGTGCCATCAAAATAGCCATAATTGTGCCCTGTAATTTCATAACGCCATCAAAATAGACATAATTTTACTCCATGTTTTGACCCAATGCTATCAAAATAGCCACAATGCTGCCCTTCCCATAGACTTTTAGATCTCTGAGCTCAATATTGTAGTTATAAAGAAACAAATATGCTCCAAATGAGAGTACTTCTTTGCTAGCTTTTTGCAGCTCTTAACCCCAAAATTATTCTAAAAGTAAATCACTATCTTTGAACAATGGTTTAATAAGGCCAAAGAAATCTTTGGAAAATAAGCAAAACATGTTATTAGCATATCAAAGCACATCATTTATTGAACTCTTTCAAAACTTTCACATGTAATTTATTCAAAATCATCAAATATTAAAATTTATAATTTGACAAAAAACAATGGTCACATAAAAAAAGTATAATGGAATAGTTTTAAAGGTTTTTATAACAATTGTATAAAATATCACAATTAATTTATTCAATAAAGTTTGACATTATTTTGTAACATTTCCTCTCGCATCAAATACAAGTCTTCCAATCTTTGCTTCAACTCGTTCACTGACCCTCACTTTCCTGTCTATCTCTCTGATCTGTTGCTTCCTTACATCCCCACAAGACAACTACGTTCTTCCATTGACAGTAGAACCCTCTCAATCCCAAGAACTAAAACTAAGACCATCGGTGAACGCTCCTTCTGCTTCCATGGGCCCACGTTCTGGAACCAGCTCCCCTTCCATATACGTCATAGTGAAACCTCGTCCATTTTCAAAAAGTCCCTTAAAACTCATCTGTTTAGGTCCGCCTATGACCTGTGATGCACCCTCCTTGCCCTACCTAATTTTCTGTTTCGGTTTAATCCTGAAGTGTCAAAGTGTCCTCTTTTTATAGCCATTTTCATTGTTTCTATAGAATAGTAGTTACTATCCTAGTGTCTCATTTGTATTTACTTAGTTTACATGTTTTAATAATTGTAAAGCGCTTAGAGCTTTATGATAAGCGCTATATAAAAATGCCTAAATAAATAAATAAATAAATAACATGATTGCAAAAATTCCCATTAAAACATTTTATAAGTGAATCAACATACATAATTCTCTTTGCAACAATGTCCGCCACTAACGCTACTAGATGGCATCGTTTTCCCCGACACAAAACCACCAAATAAAATGGTGCCGTTTTCACTACAAAATACTGCCAAAAAATACACATCCTACGATTTTGTTATAATTTGATTCGCTGTGAAAGTTAAATTTTATTTGGTAATTTGTGAACAACTGAAGAAAAGCTAACAATATTCTGTAATGCTGTAGCCAGGGACGTCATTTGCGCCCCCCCCCCCTCCCCACACCCACTGATTTTGCAGGATTTATTTTAATTGCTATGTACTGTGGGACCTCCAGTAATAACCAACTCAACAAGCTGACAAAGTTTTGTTCCCCCCACCCCCTGAAAAAAACCTGAAATGAAACCCTGGCTGTATTCATCAATAAAATGTACAATCAGATGTTCTATATGTAGTGGATGTAGCTTAGAAGCAAAGTGCTCACTTGGCATATGAGAGGACCCGGTTCAATTCTTGGCCACACTAAATATATTATAATTTTACTTTTTTAACCTAATGTGATATAAAAACAAAATTATCCAAATACATGCTTTGGTTAATAAAAAAAATAATCACAAGAATTACAGGCAACAAGGTTGGCGCATCTGAGATGTTGACACTTAGTCTATGTTAAGGTTGCCACAATACTACCAAACAAAAATATTTTACTTACTAACACTAACACAAACAGGCTGAAATTTCGAGATAAATTTATTTGCTGAAAAAGTTCAATTTTATTTGGCATTTTGTGAAGCAAATTAAGCAGAATTGCAGCTATTAAAAATCAGAGCTCACTTGAGTTAACAGAAATGGTGAGTTCATTCAAATTGTAATCAGCTATATGCCGCCTTGACCCGTGATCGAAATCAAGAAAATTTAAAGGTACAGGTTAAGTACTTAGTGTATCAAAGTGTATTTTTCAAGAACACTTGAACATTTACCAAAAATATTGTCATTTAAGGACTATTAAATTACAAGAATTCTGAGTTAGGAACTACATTTTTTTACATTTTGAAAATATAAAAAAATAGCTTTATGACCATATCTTAATCAGGCCTGCACAATGTATGTCTAGCCAGCAGCCACTTTGCAGCCAGCAGCCACTTTGCGGCCCGCGAAGTAACAAAATATTCTTTATTATTTTCTTAATAGTTCCCCCCTCCTGTCCTATTTTCTTTCAGCCCGCACAAGTTTTTCATTAAGTATTACGGCCGCCTTACATTTTAGTTATGCAGGCTTGATCTTTGCAATTCGTCATCATCCTAAGCAAAATGAAGGCACATTTCTCTCATACCAAGTGCACATAATATTTTCTTTTCCAAAGGGGAAGAATCTCAACACCTGAAAGACAATAAAGGAAATCATAAAACCAAAATGAGTCCAATAAATTGTGTGATGAAATACTTGAACTGTTAATTATTAGCCAATACTTAATGAACAGTTGAAATCAAATCCCTTTTAAAAAAATTTTGTTCAATAATCACAAATATATATTCTCTATATATGTATGTGTGGGGTAATGTCCTGTTCAAAAGGTCGACAAAATAAAATTCCCACAAGCTAGCGCTTATTGGGATTCCTAATAAAGTGTGTTACTTGAGGGAATGTTTTGTCAAGCAACTGTAATAGATGGGAAGTTCAAGCATTGCCACTGCCATTGTTTGGTGCATAATTTCTAGTTTTATATAATTAAATTCTTCATTTATGTCTTTTTACCCCGCCTGGGGCATAGGCCGTCAACAAGAATTTTCCATTCATCATGGTCCTGTGCTTTTCTTTCCAGGTGCTATCCCATACTTTGCGTGTCTGCCTCTAGCTCGCGTCTCAATGTATTCTTAGGCCTTCCTCTCTTTCTTTTTCCCTGTGGATTCTATGTTAGCGATTGTCTGGGTTTTCGGAGAGCGTGTCCTATCCACCTATATAATTAAATTGCTACATCAAAAACTGTGATTGAAGAGTGCTGTGTTATATTTTATAAATAGGAGCCTACATATATCATACAGCAGAGCTGTAAATCAATTAATAAATAATTTTTTACATACCTTTAGTATGAAATTTTTTAAAAATTACTTCTTAGTCTTTGGGAGGGTGTTCATGAGTTTGCATATGATTGACAGCATAACCTCATCAGCCCCGCCTCCAATGGATATCAAACGCATGTCTCTAAAATAAAAAACAAATAATATTCAACGTGTGTCAATAAATAAATTCCAAATTTAGGAGAAACAAAAAAAAAATATAAATTTTATTTCCCACCACTGTTTTGTGGTGTTAAGGGGGCAGGCTACCAAAAAATTTTTTTTAAAATTAACCAACTTAGAGCAATTATTTTATTATGGTCATGTTAAGCTATGAATGGAGATATATTTTCATGCTTTAAAATAAAAAAAAATTATATAGTTGCCATCGCAACGGCGGCCATCTTGAAAATAATACCCATTCGTAGAGTTCTAAAATTTTAAAAACAAACATACATATTGCTTAAAAATTGATTGATTCATGAACTTCAATTATATTTAGAGGTACTGAGCTAGTTTAATTTCCTTAAAACTTTTCAAAACATTTTTTTTTTAATTTTTAAAATTTGCCTCGGCAGAAAACGCTTAAAATTTACCATCCTAGGATATGAAAAAAATTATTTTAACAAAAGTAATTGACCAAATTGATTTTTGAATAGCTCATTACCCACAAAATAGTTAAAGGAAGATACACACCAAATTTTATTACTCTAGCTTGTATATTAGCTGAGATTTTAGAATTCTACGTTACAAAACAACAGAAAAAAACAATTTTGAGAAAAATCAATTTTAAACTTTAAAAGTGAAAAATTTTAAGTTTAATATGAAAATGAAGTTCTTTTACATAGTTTTTTTTGTTCAGCAACATGGACATGGTGGTTTCTTATATTATTGAACTGTTGAATGCACCAGGAACATGGGTTTTAACTTCTTGAACTTCATCAGGTGCTCTCGTCAAAATCACAATTTTAAACAAAAAATTTTTTTCCTCTGGAATAAAGCTAATTTGTGTTGTATTAGAATTTTTTGTTCAGCATTATAATATAACACAAGTTATCCAAAGTCCCCAATCAACCCTTTTGTCCATGATCCTTTTAACCATGCTTAGATGACAAGGTTATGTTGCTGTCACCATCACTGAAATTAAAGCATAGTTTCATGGCAGCAATGCTATGTTGAAACTTTTGTACCTATTCTGTGTACTTCTTTCATCAAAGATGTCCCTCATACCAGAGGTGAATGAGTTATTTGTCTATTAGAAATGTAATAATTGGGAAGATACTTGCTCATAAATGTTTCATGTCTTCGGCATAGCGCAGTTTTTATACTTTGCGCAGGTTATAAATTTTGCGGTGCAGCTGGATTGTTTATCGCAGATATCATAGATTGCAACTTTTCATAGTCCATGCCATTGTCCTTCAGGCCTTAGAGTCTATAATTGATAATGACTTGGTTATCCAGTTGTTGATATGAACAATCTAACCACTCACAATCTAGTCATTGTTATGTTCATAGTATTTACTATTTTGTTTTGCAATCAGCTGTAAGTTATGGCTTCTGCAATTCGTCCATTCCACTGCAGACAGAAGAAAATTGGTAAAAGCTTTGAATTATGATCATTTCGAAATCAATGTTTAGCAGTCCCTCTGTAGAATTCTTGTCACTGAAGAATTAACTTTTGCTCGGCTCGGTAGAACTAATTGGGGGCTGGAATGGAATTAAAAAATTATATAAACATTATTTAGCAAATAATATATTGAAAATGATCTCAATAAGCCTATTAGTATTATTTAGATGTTTAGGATTGCTAAACTAAATACTTATTTTATTATAATTACTATTATTAGTCAATTGAACTGATCTTATAAATAAGAAATAATATAAAACTAATTAGCTATTACTATTAATAATTGTATGCAGATAAAAAAAATGAATAAGGCTAAGATTAAACTATTTGAGTTAAAAGATTCTAATACGAATTATTTTCCCCATACTGCTAATGCTAATACCATGCCATAATTATAGTAGTATTACGGCATATTGCGTTGTTGTTTTAGTCCTAGCCTTAGTCTTAGCCTATGCTATTACTTTGAACTACTCGATTATTTATCAATGTTGTTTTGTTAGACAACTATAAATAAATAGGCTTAGGATTCATATAATTTAACAATTCACTTGATTGGTAAATATAAAGACTAATAGTAGAAACTTATGTAATTCTCCGCATAAGGCATAAGCTAAACATAAACTCACAAACAATCCACACGCACAATCAATCATCAAGGCAACACAGTGACAGTACTGACGTCCGAACTGAATAATTTCAACTATCACCGATTGCATGTTGCTAAATTAAGGTCATTTTTTTAGTATACTTACCTTGAATTTCTGGCTTTTACCGAATGGGTAAGGTTGTAAACGTGTATTTTAAAATCAAAATATGCTGATGCTTTCGTTTGCAAAATGTCGTTCTGTACACAGAACCATGATCCGGTAAACACGCATAAACAACGCATTTGCGCATGCGCGAGTCAACGGTATCTTGGTTACCCTCGGTTCGGACCAATGAAAATCGGTAAAATAATTATATAAATAGAAGTGAAGAAAATCCTACACACACTTCGCTTGTGGATCCGATTATTTGTAGCAATTATATTTACTGACTTCGATTCTAAAAATTAAAAAAACTGCTTGAATTTACCTTTACGTTGATATATAATAATAGCACATTATGTTATTTAAAACTAGTTTTTTGAGGTCTCAAACATGGGATATGTATGAATTTTATTTTATTTCCAAAATTAGGTCAATTTTTAGAGTGGGGAGGGGTGTTAAATATCAGTTGTTTCACAACAAATCTTTTAAAAAGTAGTATCAATTGATATGTAATCGATTCTAAGAATGTTTATCTTCGTAAAAATGAAAAAATAAAAAAATGGACAATTTTTGAAAATTTTAGATATTTTCGAGCGCCTCACCCCTTAAGGCTATACAAATATCACCACAATGCTTCGCATTTATCGTATACCGTATACTAATGCTTTGTGTTTTCATAAAGAGGTCGCTGTAGTAGTCATATTTAACACGACATAGTGACAACACACTAGTCCACTAACACGTATTTCCGTGCTGGTGACGAACCCACCTTCCCCCACCCTCATTAATAGGAAAAACATAGTGCCCTCGCCTATCCAATATGCCCCTGAGTTTTTACGTTCACATACTAAAGAGCAGTGGTCAGCATACTCATTGGTCAAAAGAGCCCAAATCAGCAGCAGGACCATTAAACAAATTTTGCGAGCCAAATTTATTTTCAAGAACCTGTCAAGGACCATGTTTTTCGGAGTAAAAACCGCTTTGTAGTTGACTGGCCGAGCCGCAGTCTGGACGAGCCGCGGCTTGCCGACCACTGCTATAGTATCAGAGACTAGTAACTACCACAAGCTGTAAACAAAAATGAGCATAGTTTCATGGCAGCAATGCTATGTTGAAACTTTTGTACCTATTCTGTGTACTTCTTTCATCAAAGATGTCCCTCATACCAGAGGTGAATGAGTTATTTGTCTATTAGAAATGTAATAATTGGGAAGATACTTGCTCATAAATGTTTCATGTCTTCGGCATAGCGCAGTTTTTATACTTTGCGCAGGTTATAAATTTTGTGGTGCAGCTGGATTGTTTATCGCAGATGTCATAGATTGCAACTTTTCATAGTCCATGCCATTGTCCTTCAGGCCTTAGAGTCTATAATTGATAATGACTTGGTTATCCAGTTGTTGATATAAACAATCTAACCACTCACAATCTAGTCATTGTTATGTTCATAGTATTTACTATTTTGTTTTGCAATCAGCTGTAAGTTATGGCTTCTGCAATTCGTCCATTCCACTGCAGACAGAAGAAAATTGGTAAAAGCTTTGAATTATGATCATTTCGAAATCAATGTTTAGCAGTCCCTCTGTAGAATTCTTGTCACTGAAGAATTAACTTTTGCTCGGCTCGGTAGAACTAATTGGGGGCTGGAATGGAATTAAAAAATTATATAAACATTATTTAGCAAATAATATATTGAAAATGATCTCAATAAGCCTATTAGTATTATTTAGATGTTTAGGATTGCTAAACTAAATACTTATTTTATTATAATTACTATTATTAGTCAATTGAACTGATCTTATAAATAAGAAATAATATAAAACTAATTAGCTATTACTATTAATAATTGTATGCAGATAAAAAAAATGAATAAGGCTAAGATTAAACTATTTGAGTTAAAAGATTCTAATACGAATTATTTTCCCCATACTGCTAATGCTAATACCATGCCATAATTATAGTAGTATTACGGCATATTGCGTTGTTGTTTTAGTCCTAGCCTTAGTCTTAGCCTATGCTATTACTTTGAACTACTCGATTATTTATCAATGTTGTTTTGTTAGACAACTATAAATAAATAGGCTTAGGATTCATATAATTTAACAATTCACTTGATTGGTAAATATAAAGACTAATAGTAGAAACTTATGTAATTCTCCGCATAAGGCATAAGCTAAACATAAACTCACAAACAATCCACACGCACGATCAATCATCAAGGCAACACAGTGACAGTACTGACGTCCGAACTGAATAATTTCAACTATCACCGATTGCATGTTGCTAAATTAAGGTCATTTTTTTAGTATACTTACCTTGAATTTCTGGCTTTTACCGAATGGGTAAGGTTGTAAACGTGTATTTTAAAATCAAAATATGCTGATGCTTTCGTTTGCAAAATGTCGTTCTGTACACAGAACCATGATCCGGTAAACACGCATAAACAACGCATTTGCGCATGCGCGAGTCAACGGTATCTTGGTTACCCTCGGTTCGGACCAATGAAAATCGGTAAAATAATTATATAAATAGAAGTGAAGAAAATCCTACACACACTTCGCTTGTGGATCCGATTATTTGTAGCAATTATATTTACTGACTTCGATTCTAAAAATTAAAAAAAACTGCTTGAATTTACCTTTACGTTGATATATAATAATAGCATATTATGTTATTTAAAACTAGTTTTTTGAGGTCTCAAACATGGGATATGTATGAATTTTATTTTATTTCCAAAATTAGGTCAATTTTTAGAGTGGGGAGGGGTGTTAAATATCAGTTGTTTCACAACAAATCTTTTAAAAAGTAGTATCAATTGATATGTAATCGATTCTAAGAATGTTTATCTTCGTAAAAATGAAAAAATAAAAAAATTGACAATTTTTGAAAATTTTAGATATTTTCGGGCGCCTACCCCCTTAAATGATTTGGATTGTTGAAAGTGTCCATGGGTTTCAGAATACAGTTTAGGAAGCATTTTATGCTATCAAACCTGACAGTTGAACATAGTAAATTGGAAGCGGCACTTAACCTCTAAAGAAAGTTAGTTTTATGGTTCATGAAAAACAGATATAAACTTTATAAGGTTATTGCGTCTCACACAAGGTAGATACATTTTTTTTTTTTAGAAATATGGTTTGAATGTTTTTGAATTTTTTTTATTATGTGTAATTATTATAACGCATGGATTTAACGCTTGTAACCTTTGGAAAATTAAGACTTCACAATGTAAAAAAATTCATAAAAAACCTGACCAAATAAAAGAGACTGGTACACACCAGACTTACCTGTAAAACCTACTGATAATAACGTCCTCAGTGAAGCCCATGCCCCCCCAGTACTGAAGGCACTTGTCAGTGGCTTCACGTACCAGCCTGCCAGCTTTCAACTTGCACATGGAAGCAAGCTTGGTAACGTCTTGACCTTTGGCATACAAAGCTGGAAAAGAAATATAAATCAAACTTGGTAACATCCCTCTTGACTGACATATAAGGCTAAATTGTTAAAACATTTATTTCTGGCCTTTTGGGTTATAAGGCTTAAGAGTAATGAATATTTTTCTCATCTATAGGTATACAAAGCTAAAAATATTATTTTTTTTGTCCATAGGCTTATGAAGATAAATAATAACGTAAATATATTTTTTATATTGGAAAGGCCTCATCCTTTGACATACTGTTACAAAATTAGAAAGTCAAATAAAATGAATTAAATTGTGATATTCCATATTTTCTTCTCTTATTTATGAGTGTAGTGCTGAAAGTTGATAAAAGATATTCCATTGTTATCCAGAGTGCATCAGCAGATTTATTCGTCGACCTACCCACAGCCCGATATGTGGCAGATCTCAGCATCTCCAACTCAGCTGCCAGCTCGGCCAATGTGAAATGAACAACTTGGAAGTTTAACACAGGCTGGCCAAAAATTTTTCTCTCTATTGTATACTTGATGGTTTCACTAATCATATTCTCTATGGGCATAAGAACTGGAGAAGAAAAATAAATTATTAGTTGCAAAAAGACCTCTATGTAGGCCCACATTCAGTATATGTGCAGGAAGTATAAGATATTTTCCATAGCCCAAACAATTTTGTATATTATTATTTCACAGACTCTTAATGTGCATAAGCAATATGTTAACAAAAAAGACACAGGTCAAAATAACTATTTTGAATTAAAAATATAAGAAAAGTTAAAATTGTAAGATGTGGGGGAAAATGTGATCTACCAGCGGCTGCAGCAAATATTCTCTCCTCCTGGAACTGAAGCATCTGGTAGGTAAACCCTTGGCCTTCCTCCCCAATGATATGTGACCTTGGTACCCTCACGTCATCCAGGAAAATCTGGGCAGTGTCAGAGCTCCACATGCCGAGTTTCTGGATTTCCTTGGCAACTGTTACACCTAGTTAAATAACATGAAATCTGGTGTTAAATTTAAGAGGACCATACACAAGGGAATGTCAACCCACTTGTTATGTAAGCTACCAGTGACAAGTCTGATCGTGGTACCACATAATTTAGTCTGTTGATCATATATAAGTCAGTTGAGCACTATACAAAGAAATATAAAATTAAAAGTGTTTAATGGATTTGAAATCACCCATACTTGTTTTTCCTGCTCCTCATTTGTAAATAAAAACATTAAATAAATTTTGATTGACTTTTTCAGTTCAATAAATAAAAATGTAGAAAAATTATTATAAATTGCTCTCTAAGAAGATTGACATGCCTGGTGTTTTCATGGGCAAGCATATGAGCGACTTGTTAAAATGAGACTTCCCATCACTTGTGTTGGCTAAACAGCACATCCAGTCTGCTTGCGTTCCATTGGTCGTCCACATTTTCCCCCCATTTAGAATCAGGTCATCTCCTTTCCTCGACGCCCTAGTCTGTATACCTGTCAAATGATGAGCAGTATTTATAATAGGTTAAAAACTCAGACACATATTTAGAAACCAAGCTATTTATAGGGGTGTGCCGGACCCCGGTCCGGAATCCGGTTCCGCCGGATTTTGCACTATCCGGTGAAATCCGGTTCCGCCGGATTTACATGTATCCGGAACAACCGGATTCCGGAATCCGGAATATACCGGATTTCGGAATTTGCCAGATTTTGTGACTCACCGGATCATAATCTGAAATAAAAGTAATTCTCTTTCCCGAATTTCACACGATCACGATACATTAATCGATTGTTTCGAGCGTTGAGCTTGTTTAATGTTTAATATTCCGTACATACCAGAGGCTAGAGTCAGCACCGCTAATAGTGGCCAATAGTGTAGGGACTTTGATAAGAAAATTTAAACTTTTTGTAAAAATAAACCAATGGCATAGTTGAAAAGATGTAATTTTTTAAAGAATTATAACACCAAAATCATATTTTTAGCTGTTGTAGTTTTAAAGTTATGAATTTTTAAAGTACGACTTGGTTTGTCATTTTTTAACATGGACTGCATCTCCACATTCTGTGATCTCATTCCACCAATCCCGTCATGCGCAATGACTATATAGTTTATATAAGGCAACGCATTCCCTGCCTTATCACTAAAATACTGTTTAGACTTAGTTTAAACTTTCAACTTTGGCACATGAATAATTAATTAAAGCTTTCCCTGACCAATGGTTTAATAGTTTTTGCACACGGCAAACTCTTATGAATGAAACTCTGAGGTAGTACTACGATACAGTTATGCAAGTGGCTGTGAATGGTTGCCAATGACAACGTGTTGCACACGGTAAATTCTGATCATTTATAATATGGATTCTACCGGGTTGTTAAAGCTCAAATTAAAACATTCCAGTTTAAATGTCTTTAAATGCATTCTGAAACACAAGTTATCAATTATTTTGATGTAAATAGTGATAATAAATTAATATTTCCTAAGTATCGTCAACTTCCGCCATTAAAAAGGGGGGCGTGGCCAACCCCATGGCGAAATTAGGTTGAGCGAGCTGCATAACCTGCTGCGAACGCGTAGAAACATGGCGTCTCTCGTAAGACACTTATCCAAATGGAACGGAACTCAAATATATATCGAAAGTACTAATTTAATAATAAATAGACACACACATCGGAAAATTAAAAACTCGGATTTTTTGGCGCCGATTGCGAATTCCCATACACAAAAAGTAGTAGTCCACCTTGACTTACCGAAGTATCTACCAATAGTACCAAAATCCGGAATCCGGGAGAAACCGGAATCCGGATCCGGCGGATTTCGCATAAGAAAATCCGGATCCGGATCCGGTTGTAAAAAACGGATCCGGCACACCCCTAGCTATTTACATAAAATAATTGCTCTTTACTCAAAAGTAATGCATAAATACTTATCAAATTAACTCATGTTTTTATTTTCTGTAAAAAAAAAAAAAAAAGGAGAAGAAAATTTACTGTCCCTTGCAGGTCGTAAATGATACACAGTGGTAAGTAAATTAAAACAAAAACTGGATCACTTACTGGCAACATCAGAACCAGAACCCACCTCACTGACTCCCAGACATGCCACACTATCTCCAGCTATTGAGGGTGCAAGAAATTCTCGCTTTAAAAAATCACTGCCAAACCTGTGTCAGCAAGAATTTGAAAACAATTTTTCCTGTGTTCATTGATTGATTACAAATTATGTTATTCTTTATTAACAGGCAGTAACAACACAATGATCAATACTATTATTTTACTTATGTGAGGCCTTTTACTAATTGTTCCTTTATCTGTTCTATTAGTTATAATATAACAATAGCTTATATAAATATATATACTACAAAGGCAAAGTACACGTCTTCCTGTCTGTTTGTAGTCATAAAAATACCCTACCTAGCCAGATCAGGTAATGTTAAGTCTGTTTGTACCTACCTAGCCAGAGCTGGTGTTGCCATGTCGGTCTGCACTCCTATAGCCATTGGGACTCCTCCACAATTGATATTTCCAAGCTCCTCGGCTACAGCTATACTGTAGGTATAGTCAAGTTCAAGGCCACCATATTCTGGGTTTAAATATGAATTAAAACATAATTATAGTGACATTTCAACATTCTTTGAATTCATTTGTGCACCTACTTAATTTACAAAGCTTAAAACAAATTATGAATTGAAGCCACAAAACTATTTCTTTGCACTGGGTACAACAAAATTTTGATAAAAGTCATCATTACAGCCATCTAAAAATTGTGCCACAAGAGAACCATAGCATCAACACAATGATGATCCCATGTAACAGGAGATTCATTAAAATAAAACAACATGTGAAGGGAAAACAACATCCATGGGGAATCAAAATCTGGAAGAGAACAAGTGCCAGTGGAATTCTTTGTGACTTTGATGTTTATAAAGGCAACAAAGATAAAAAAGAAAATATTGGGCCCGGAGATTGTTCTGAAACGTGTTCTTTCATCGCCACAAAATGTTCCAGGACAACCACTTCTGTATTTCAAAGTAAATGCAGACAACCTTTTCACCAGTATTCATGTTTTGACAGCAGTACAAAACCTAGGCATTCACTACACTGGTACAGCCAGACCCAATCACATTCCAGAAGTCAAGCAGCCGTCCGATGCCCACATCAAGAAAAGAGACGAAGGTGCGATGGATCAGTGCATTAGAAAAACAACTAAGGTTGTTGCAGTTCGCCGATATGATACCAGAGTGATAAATGAGATATCCACCATTTGTAGTAATGATCCCAGTAACACAGTCACTCGATGAGAGCAATCTAAATGCACACATGTTCAAGTTCGGAGACCTGTAGTTTTACAATGAAAACATAGAGGTGTAGAGCTTTATGGGTGTTATATAGCAAACTTATATAGGATATTTTATAAATATGTTACATAGGATGAAATCCAAGCACTGATATCTGTGTACTTTTTGGCACACCATTACTATGATTCTGATAAATGCCTGGCTCTCCTATCGATGTGAATGTCAGTTGCCTGGGCAGGCAAAATGAGAAACTATGAATCAGCGAACCTTTCAAGCTACACTTGCATCACATCCGATTCAAATTAATGCCGCAAGGGACATGAAATGTGGACGACCATAACTTGAAATCACCAGAGAATGTCCAATGAAGAAAATGAAGTATCAAGAACAACTGATACCAGTCCCAGACGTAAGAACATATGGCTATCACTTTCTTATCAAAAGTGATCAGCGTCAACGATGCAAATTATGCAAACTCAAAACTAATAATTTATGTAAAAAATATGTTTATCTTTGTTATACTGCAAAGAGAAATTGCTTGAAATCTTTTTACATGAATATGTAAAAAAAATTTGAATAAAATTAATTTTACCCAATTTTAATTAAAAGTAAATGTTAAACCTGAAATGTCTAGTGGGTCAGTGGTGGAACAAAATGAAGAAGTAGGTCACTCTCACATGATAAAAATGTGATAATCGTTATTGATTTCTTGCCCAAAAGTACGGTATGCATGTACACCAAAGGTAATGATTTCTCCACCATAAGACCCTGTATGGGCCTCTGGCGATTTACTTTTTAAATAATGGCTCCATTGTTTTTTCTTTTGGTGAAATAAATCAATCAAGTTTCATTAGGCTTCAAATGAAATCTAAATTTTTAGTGATTGTTTGAGAAACGTTCCTTGTTTAATGGATTTATTAAAAAAAGTTTAAATCTTTCACCTTTTGGTTTATTGACACCTAGAAATCCATTGTCACCCAGAATCTTAAAAACTTTGTGTGCTGGAAATTTTCTTTGAGCTTCCCATTCATCAACATGCGGATTGATGTCTTTCTCAATAATCTGTACAAAAAACAAAAAAAAAATCATTTAGCATTTTTAAAATTTGACATATTTAACTTTTTAGAAACATTAACCCCTTAAATACCAGAGAGTACTGTCAATATCACCAGTGACATGTTGAGCAACATAATGATGATATGGCACTAAAATAAGTGACAAGCACATATAAATTCCCATAAGTTGAAATATAGTTGTCATTAACGGAAAGCCTCATTAAAATTCAACCTACAAGGTTCAAAAGAGTTAAAAAAGAAACTCTTCCTTGTTGATACCCCAAAATGAACATTGGTTTTAAAAAAATATGCACGCATTGCTCAATGTGCTGTCATTATCAAAAGTACCTGGACAGCATTCATTTCTATCATGATGCAATTTTACGACCCCTCCCCAAATTTCAATACAAAAATAATAAACACAGTAGTTTCCGGGGGGGGGGGGGACGGGACGGGACACATGAACCTCCCCCAACTTTCAAGACAAAAAAACAAAATGTGCAAAACAAACTTGTTATCAAACAGAGAGCATAAAAAATTTCTATCATGATGCAATTTTACGACCCCTCCCCAAATTTCAATACAAAAATAATAAACACAGTAGTTTCCGGGGGGGGGGGGACGGGACGGGACACATGAACCTCCCCCCACTTTCAAGACAAAAATACAAAATGTGCAAAACAAACTTGTTATCAAACAGAGAGCATAAAATTTAAATATTTTAAACATGGAACGAAGGCGGCTGTAAGTTGAACTGGGGAACCTCCATGACCTATATACTGTGGACGCCATTTCTGGTGTTGACGCTACCTAACCCAATTCTATCATTATCATAATCCTAGAAAATTTTGACCAAGGCCTAGAGTCTAAAGTATAGTATTTAATTATTTAAATAAGCCTAGGCGACTAAAACAATATTAATTATAATATTATTAAGACTAGTAAGAGCATCAATAACATTAGAATTTAGTGAATTCACAATTACATAAATATAATGAATATTGACAATTATTGAAATGAGTTAGTTACACAACTTACAAAATTACAATAACTATTATTAGCATTACAATTACATGTCATCCCATACTCATATAGTATTACAAGTATCCTCATCCTAATGTCCCTTAGTAGTTGGACCGTTGGGGCGCCACAGATGACATGTGAACCATCCTCCTCCATTCCTCTGTCTTCAGCACTACGCACTGCATCGCCCAGTGTTAGTCCTGTATACTCTTTGATGTTATCCTCCCATCTTTTTCTTTGTCTTCCTCTTCTTCTCCCTCCTCTTGTGGTGCCCTGCAATATTTCTTTGGCAAGCCCTTGTTTCCTTGTTACGTGGCCGTACCATTGTAGTTTGAGTTTTTTCACAGTCACCAGTAGGTCATTGTACTCCCCAATTGCCTGACAAACCCTTTCTTTCACTGTATCATTGGAGATATGGTCCCTAAAGCAGATGCCAAAAATGCTTCTGAAGCATCTCATCTCCATCGCCTTTATTTTCCTTTCAAGATTGGCTGTTAATGTCCAGGATTCGCAGGCATACAGGAAAATGGAGAGGACTAATGAGCGCATCAGCCTGATTTTGGTGCTGGGGGCTATATTTTTGTCATTCCATATTTTCTTGAGCTTCTTTAGTACTGTTGTAGTCTACGCAATCCTGGACATCAGTTCGGGCTTAGAGCCTTCTTCTGAGACTATTGCTTTTAGGTATTTGAAGCGGCCGACAATCTTTAATCTATCCTCCCCGACCTTAATTTCAGTGGTGATGCCTGCGGTATTATTTGTCATCAGTTTTGTCTTTTCGGCACTGATTAGCATGCCGATTGTTCTGCCACCAATGCTGACTGTCCCTTCATGTGCTTCCAGAGCATCTGACATAATTCTCTCTAGGAAGATGTTGAATAGGGTGGGGGAGAGCAGGCAGCCTTGTCGTACTCCAACCGTGGTCTTGAACCATTCTCCAATGTTGTTGTTGAGGAAGACTGCACTGGTGGCCTTATCATAGAGGTTGCATATCATGCTGGTTAGGTTTGTGTTGATGTTGTAGTGCCTCATGGTGGCCCATAAAGCAGCATGCCATACCCTGTCAAATGCTTTCTTGAAGTCAACAAAGACGTGGTAAGGGTTTTGTTGGTGTTGAACATATTTCTCGCATAGTATTCGGAGGTTTAAAATCTGCTCAGTAGTGCCCCGTCCTTGTCTGAAGCCCGCCTGTTCTTCAGCAATGATTCTGTTGGCATATGGTTTTAGTCGGTTCAATATGACATTCAGCATGACCTTGCTTGGATGGCTTATTAGGCCAATTGCGCGATAGTTTTGGCATAGCTGTAGGTTACCTTTTTTGCAAATATTGAATCATTATCATTGCTTCTCCTCCTTGTTTCATCAACTCGGTAGGGATATTATCCACTCCTGCTGCCATTCCTGTTTGGAGTACCTGGACTGCTGCTTCTACTTTTGCGCGGAGAATAGGGTAGTTATCATTGTCTGTTGCTGGAGGGATATTAAGGATCTCCGGGTCTATCTTTATACTTTCATTATAAAGCTCTGAACAGTATTCAGTCCATCGTTTGATGATATCATTTTCTTCGGTCAAACATTTACCATTTGTATCCTGTATGGTAGTACTACGCCCTTGTTTTGCAGTGGTTAATTCTTTCACCAACTGGTAAGCTTTTTTGCTATTGTTTTTCTTCACGCAGTTATCAATGTCGTAGCATTGCTCTTCAATTCAGTTCTTCTTTGCCCTTTTCATACCTTTTTTGATGGCTTGATTCCTATATTTAATGGCCCCCTCTGTATTTACCATTTTTGTTTTCTATAACTGCCTCCGTTTATCACACAGATCAAGTATGTCAGCTGTCACCCATGGTTTTCGAGATGGTCGATGTTTACTGAGGATGTCGTGAGCTGTGTCCGTCCCAGCTGTGTTGAAGTTATCAATCAATGTGTCCAAGTATACTGACAATATACTCATTTTCAATCACTTACTTACTATCATTGATCATCACCAAGAATTTTCAAAGAAAAGAGTTGAAAAGACACTTTTACTACAAATTAGTGACCATCACTATCACTCTTCTTAACTTAATTCTTAGGACTATGTCTTAGGCTAGATTTAGGGACTTTGGCTTTCAGCATTTAATTCTTAGACTATGTCTTAGGCTAGGTTTAGGGGTTTTGGCTTTTAGTTTTAGCCTTGCGTTATTTTATTAGACTAGACTAGAGGGTGGGATTCACATTTTTTTTTAAAAATAAAATGAATGGCTTTAGTCTTAGTTTTTATCTAAATCATGAATCATAGTAAATCATAAATCTAAGTAGACTAAGTAAGACTGGCAGCAGTTACTAAGTTAATTTAATAAGTAGTAAGTCAACTAAACAATAAAGGTTCAAAGTCCTTCATTTTTTCTGGACTACGCTCGCCTACTTCATTTTCACCTCCACCATCAGATTAGTTGCGATCGCCCGGCTATTGATAGAAATATTTTTTTTTTTTTAAATCCATATTACTTTTCTTAAAGAATATCTAAGCTGCCAATGCTCTGGTCCATAAACAATATCATCACATTCTGAACTTTGTAACAACGCTTTAGAATTTGAAAAATGCCTAGCGATGCATAAGGACCTTCCAAGCTTTTTTATAAGTGTCATCCAAACTGCCATATTTATTTCGTTTCTACTTACGACAGCTGTTTTTAGTTAATGCGGTAAAAGATAACAATACACATATGAAGAGAGATTCGCACTTAAAAATATGTATATTTTTAATTTTTTAACAATTAAAATGTAATAGCATAATTCATACGCTTTTTAGTACCATTTATAAGAAAAAAACTTGAGGTTTGAGTAAATTAGATATTTCAAGACAAAGAGGAGTCAGAAATGTAGGCACACTAAATTACTATAATTTTTTTTGAAAACGAGACAGTAATAACAGCAAAGTTACAGTTCAATTAGAATGGGTTATTCTTACAGACAGTTACAGGATAGCCAACTCAATTTTTAATAGAATTGAAAGCATTATTGAGTGGCATAAATAAAAGTAATGAAACTTTAATTTATTAGAATATTGGCCAAACAGAAATTCAAACAGTAATCCAAACAGTAACTTGATATTACTGAGTTACTCCCTTACATGGAAGGATAAAATCAGTCAACTATCCCCTTTCACGTTTTCATTTTTTTTTAAAGTTTCTCGTAGAACTCCTTTATTTGCATTTTTGTTTCCATTTATGTAATTGTACGTAATTTTTAATTTATGTGCTTGTAGCAACTGATTTTTGTTGGAAATACATGTTATTATTTTGTTCGTCAAATCTTGTGGATTTACCCCAAAATTATTTTCAGTATTATTGTGCGACTTAGCGACGGCTACAGTTCTTAATAAATCATTGCATCATTTTATGTTCTTCGTGTTCTTCTTGAAGAACCGGAAAAACTGATTTCTGGGAGTTTGGGAAAAGGATTAGAATTTGCAAGCATCTATTGTCATCGACAATCTACAAAGTTTAATTTCGATAGGATGACGGGAAGTGGGTTAACACTTTATGCCACCCACCCCCTCCGCGGAAAAAATCTGCACTTCACCGAAAATGCCACCCCTTAACATAAAGGGCAAAAAAAGGGCCAGACCGTGCCTCCGCACCCCCTTCCTACGCCTCTGTATCAGATGTGTTGGTGTGAATAAAGGCGATTGCATTCTGCCAGGATTAAACCGTTGCAGATATTACATTTAAGGAGGAAGAAAAAAATGGAGAATTTCAACGAAGCTCGATCTAATTGACTTCTTAATGTGTGGATCTTAGTTAAAATTCAAGAACATGCAACCCCAAGAAAAGGTATCATCAGATACGGTGCCACCTAAAACAGAACGCTTAAGAACATATAGCCACCAAACAGAGGCGTAGCGAGGGGGTCGGGGGACAGAAGTCCCCGGCGCAAAAATGTGCTTTGATATTGTATTATTGGTAAAAATAATGGCTTTGAGAGTTGAAAAAAAGAAAAGGGGGCGCTTTAACTCTTTCCCTCCGGATCAACGCTCCCATCGTCGATTTGAAATGAAGAGTTCGGCGTATCGACGATGGGATCGTCGATGTATAAAAACCTGTTTATTTCGGTTTTTTTCTTAGCTATCGGTATTTAGTTATTTTAAATCAATTCTAGAATGATTTCCCTTTCATAAACATCCGGTTTTACTGTGATTGAGCGAAAAACGAATTGTTTGAAGCGGTTGTTTTGATTGTCCATTTTATTTTTGTTTACAAACATGAAATCTTGACCTGACCCATCTGGTGATCAATCCAATAAAGGTGGAAAATATTACTCTTGTGATGATTCAGACAGTGATTTTATGATTTCAAATGCAGAGGCTGATTCTGTCGAATCGTATGATCATAATCCTAGTACTAGTATTAGTAGTACTAGTGACAAAATAATGAAATTAGTAATTCATCAGCTGATGAACAACCAGCCCCGCCCCCCCCAGCTAAAGGGCACATCCATATGGATTGTTTTTTAGGCTTACTATTGCTAAACCCAGATGGAAATATGTGACTAATGTATGGTAAATTCTCCATTTACTATTATAAATTTTAGTACATTCAAGGATACAGTGCAATTATTTTTTAAATAGCAACAGATTGTCTCCAGTGGAATTAGTTGAATTTTTTTCCTAATTTTTTGTGTGGTGGTGACAATGGATAATGTGCTCTGAGGTTTAATTTTTTCTTTTTTGAAAGTTGATCTTTATTATTTGTGATGCACATATGAATATAGTTCAGAAAAAAAACATTTTTGTTACACTTTGGATTATATATTTCTCTTCGTGTGACTTCAAAGGAGCGTTTTGTGAACATTTGGTGAGTTTTTTTAAATAGATTTTTATTTTCCTTAAATCACAATCACATTTATTTATTAAAATTTAAACCCAAATCTTGTTTGTTTGCAAGGAGCATGCATTTCCCTTTAATTCCATACCAATATTAACATTTTCTGATTAAAAACAAAAAAGTTATAAAGGTTTAGAGAAAACATAGTAGTGCGTAACAAAAACCCGAAATAGATAATTCCGTCAGTACGTGGAAAATAATTCCGGAGGGAAAGAGTTAAAATGGATCTTGTCCCCGGGCGCCAAACACCCTCGCAAGGCCTCTGCCACCAAATAATCCCTGAATAGTTCAAGCTAGAATTTCATCACTTCTGATTCAATAAATGAATGGCCTCATAAGACATGAAACGTGGCGACGTTCACCCGACACCTTAACTGAATGCCGATGAAGAAAAGAATTTCCACAACAATAATAATAACCAGTGTCATGTTTACCTTAGTTAAAAATGAGGATAGAAACTGCTTGAGATCTTTTCACATGAGTGTGGAAGATACATTTTTTAAATCAAATTAAGCTTTAACCAAATGTTTGTAATGCATCGATGTGAGTTAAAAAGTACATGTCATACCTGAAATGCTAGGTGGGCCACCGGAAAAAAAAGTAGTTTCAGGTCACATGATTTAAAAAACGTAGTGGCTAAAAGGTACCCTAGTACCTATAGCAACAAATGGTTATTCGGACCCAGCTGGTCACGTGATGTCTTTACATTATTTGGTTGGTCACGTGACGGTTATGACGAATACTTCCTGTTGATTTGCCATCTTTGGGCCATTATTATCAATCGAGAAATGTCCCATATTTTGAAGATTTCATGTGGCGTGGAAGAAACACCAAGAACATTGTGATGTACAGCTAAAAGCAAGTAAGAATACGTTTATGTTTATAATTTTATTGTATTTGTAAATTCTATTTTAAATATAGTTCTATAATAATGAACATGACATCAATCAAGATTCAAGATCAAGTTGCTTTTTTTTTTTTTTTGACGGCAAATTTGCTAAGTCTTATCTTTATCTGTAATTGTAATGAAAAGTCTGGCTGCGACTATTCGGACCCGGTTTCAGAAGTGGATACTTGAATTTTAATTAACCGCAAAAATTATTATTATAATAATAATGAACATGACATCAATCAAGATTCAAGATCAAGTTGCTTTTTTTTTTTTTTGACGGCAAATTTGCTAAGTCTTATCTGTATCTGTAATTGTAATGAAAAGTCTGGCTGCGACTATTCGGACCCGGTTTCAGAAGTGGATACTTGAATTTTAATTCACCGCAAAAATTATTATTATTATTCACATTCCCATAAAACAAATGTTCTTTTGAATAAAAAAAAAATTCGGAAAGATCAGCCCGCGGCCGCCATCTTGGTTATCGTGACCCACGAACTTATGTCCTAAATGTATCCCTAAACCAAACCTGAACCCTAAATGTATCCCTAAACCTAACATGAACCCTAAAATGTATCCCTTAACCTGATCAATCTGAATTAGCTTAAAAAACTTTTATTCAAAAATTATTATACATTATTTCACATTTCCATAAAACTTAAAACACTTCACACTTCCAATAAAATTTGAATAAAACTAAAACAAATGTTATTTTGAATAAAAAAATACACACTTATTTAATGGTCCTCCGTTACTGTAGTGGCCAAAATTGAACAATATCGTCTAGAATGGCGTTGCGCCGTTGAAGACATAAAAACCATTTACTTAACACGTTGACGCCACATGAACTCACACATTGACAAGTCAAGCATATGTCTGTGTGTGCCGTTGTGGCGCTAGTTTCTCTCTTTTGTAGATTTCCACAAACGTTCGATGCTTTGGGCATTGGCTATTGGCACCTGAGTTTGGATCCAAAAACTTAACAGAATAAATGACCGTTTGATGAGTCAATCCCGGAGTGGTGCCAATTGCATTATATGCTCTCTATTGATCTGACATGACTGTTGTGCCCAGCATGATATTTGCTGTGATTATCGGCATAAGTGTGATGTGTAGCTGCTGATCTATCTTCTTGTACACAAAACATGCAACACTCACTAATCTCCTGACAAATGCCCCCAGAGACCCATTGTGGCAAAACTCGCCCGACATGATTTTTTCTGCATGTAAACTATTTTTTCTAAAAATTCATAGGGGTCATCTCTATCCAATTCAGAAACCCTAATCCAAGGATTCACATTATCGTAAACTTAATCATTTTGATTGTCTTCATTACTTTCCTGATTCTTTTCGTCAGTGTCAGATCACTGCTAGGCCGCGAGAAATCAAGAGGGTTACGTCCCAAGAGGGTTAACGAAAAAGCTTTCGTGTGACCAGCTCTCCTACCAGCAATGCTGCTAGTACATAAATTGCAAATATCCTAGTCCAGAGTTTCCCAAGCGTTTTGGAGTCACAGCACCGTTGCTGCACCCACGCCTTTTCAATTTTGCTCTAAGCCACATTCTTTGTGCACTGTAAAATAGCACCTTTTAAACAATCTAATCCATTTTTGAAACCTTATACTTATACAAGAAGACATACCTCAATAACTTCACTTGACTCTATCAAGTAGAGTACCAAGTAGGTTGGAGAACTAGTGAAAAATACCAACTTAATTATCAATGGCTTGCATTAAGCCCATTCATTTTTTAATACTTCAGGTTGCAGCAGGACACAGTCTGGGAGCCTCTGTCCTAGTCAATTACATGCCATAGTAAACACATATCTTTACATTTTCTCTTAACACCTAGCATCATCCTAATCCCCTTTCCAATAATAAATATTAG